CACATTGGAGTTGAAAATCCTGATCTTATTTTTGACGCTGAATACTGTTGACCTCCACACAGACTTGAGAGTAGTGAAAGCTTGCCTTGCTTTCCCGATCCTTGCTTTGATATCCTCGTCAGTTCCGCCTGTAGTTGAAAGGATGCTTCCCAGGTAGGTAGGTGGGTAAAGGAAGTTGTTTCTTTCAGGTTCCTCCCATTTGTGCTGATTGCTGTCTGTTGTTGTTGCTGTGGCTGTTGGTGTTGGCCAGGAATCTTCATCACCTCTGTTTTATCTATGTTCACCTGAAGTCCTATGTTTGATGCTTCTTCTGTCAACTTGTTACTCTTCACTTGCATATCTTCCAGCTTGTGGGAAATCAGACATATATCATCGGCGAAGTCCAGATCCTCCAAGTTCTTTGTGTGAGTCCATTTTATGCCTGTTTCCTCATTGCCCGCTGTCTGTCACATTATCCAATCTACTGCAATCAGGAAAATCACTCTGATCACTCTATTGTTCGTGTTCTACCAAAAATTTACAGCAAAACACATATTAAAGTCTTCTCGCATCTGTCTATGAAATCACAACAAAGATGCTACTCATCCGAAAACTTACTCAATCTAAGGTGCATGTTAAAAGACACTAACTGGGATTTATTCCATGAAAGTTCATTAGATGACACAATCGTCAATATAACGGATTATTTCAAGTTTTGCCTTGATATATGCTGTCCCAAACAAACTCTATTCAAACGTCTCGACCGCTTCTCATCTCCTTATCTCAAACAACTTCGCAGGAAAAAAGAAACTTTATACAAATCCAAAGACAAGTTAGGACTCAAAAAGATTAATGCTCAAATCAAATCTGAGATCAAAAATCTTAATGCTATCTATAATGATACACTTTTATCATGTAAATCTCCAATCAGTAGGTGGAAACTTTTTAATGAAATTACTGGTAATAGTAAGCGTTGTAATACTTTTCCCTCTTATGATGTTAATGCTCTTAATCAGTCTTTTATACGCTGTCCTTCTACTTTAACTACTTCTAATGTTACCTATCATGTAGCTGAAAACTTTCATGACTTTAATACTCTCGATGTTCTAAAATGTCTTAAAACACTCAAGTCCTCACGTAGCCTTGGTCCTGATGGTATACCTGCCTATGTTCTAAAGCAATGTGCAGATGTGTTGTGTTCTCCACTAACCAACATCCTAAATGCCTCTTTCTCCAAAAATATTGTACCTGATGCATGGAAAGACATCAAAATTGTCCCTGTCCCTAAACCTGGAAACGGCAAGAACGTAAAGTTCAGACCCATTGCCATCACTTCCCCGTTTCTAAAGCTTATGGAAAAACTAATACTTCTTAAACTCGAACCCTCCCTTAAAAACTTCGAAGACCCCAAACAATTTGCCTATAGACAGGGTAGGAGTACATTAGACGCTGCAGCTGTCTTACACAACAACACCGTCTCATCATTAGATAAAGGTGCCAAATACGTCCGCTGCACGTTTCTTGACTTCACTTCTGCTTTCGACTCTGTTCCTAGATGTCTCCTGCTAAATAAGCTCTCTTTGACGAAAACTGAGTCCTGGGTCACCAACTGGTTGCATTCCTACTTCTCAAACAGAATGCAGTACACCGTATACAAAGGTAAATCATCCTCTGCCGCACTCACTGAAGCCGGAGTCCCGCAAGGCGCTGTACTCTCCCCACTTCTCTTTTCTTTCTTTCTACATGACTTACCATCTTCAAATGACATTAATTTTGTCAAATACGCTGACGATCTGTCTGTATCTTTGCCTATCAAATGTCAAAGCGACTGCTCTAAACTTAATGGCTTTCTGTCAGAAATCAGCCAGTGGTCCAAGGAAAATGGTCTTACTCTAAACCCCTCCAAATGCCAAACAGTCAATTTCACCTTTAGGCATAAATCCGAACTAAACAAACTGTTTGGCTCTCATGAGGTATGCAACATAGACGGCACTGAAATAGAAACTAAATCGGAAATTAAATACCTAGGCGTCATTCTATCTCCTTATCTTTCCTGGTCGTCTCATATATTGATGATTTCTAAGAAAATATTCCGTCTTACCTTCTACATTAAGAAGTTAAAACATTCTGGTATTACCCAACCCTTACTCCTACAATTCGTTAATTCTCGCATCCTGCCTATTATTCTCTATTGTTCCCCCTTAGTCTTACCCGGGCTACTGAAGAAAGACTATAACATATTACGCAGGATGTTAAATATCGTCAGCAGAGTAAGCAACGTGCCACTTAACCAGCTTGTTAATATTTTGGTTGACAGGCACATGGACTCATGTGAAAAATGGGCCAAATCCATCTTATCTAACTCACACCACCCTCTTCACTCACAACTCTCCCCTTGCATCTCATCAGGTAAAACAAGAAGCCAATATAGAAAACTATATGCTCGCACCAGCAAATACAAAAACTCAACCATACCCTACTTAGCTCGTGTTCTGTGTGATAAAGAAAGCATTAGGCGTGACACCTATAATTCATTAAATAGTCATTAGTACAACTGGATCTCATCTTTCCAACCCACTTCACCAATAGGTACAACATTTTCTTTCTTTCTGTTCCTTTTCTCTCTCTTCTTTTTCCGTTATGTGCTGCTTTGTCTCTTTCTCTCGCTTACGCCAGTTAATAAGACAGCTCCCACTTTTCTAACACCTTCAAACACTGTTTCAGCTTTACCTTTGCTACTGACATGCCAATGTATTGTTGTAATAATGAACTGCGGTTTCCTCAATCTATGTAGAATTCTATTTATTGATAATGTACAAACTGGATGCAATACTGTAGTAAAAATGCTGAGAATTCCATTCTGTATCACAAGTACTGTTTTGGAATAAAGCAAATTATTATTATTATCATTGGCGATAGTAGGCAACCATGTCTTACTCCTGTCTTCACTTCGAAGGATTCCGTGAGCTTCCCGTTGTGAATTACTTGGCATGCAGCGTTGTCGTACAACTGTTGGATGAGATGTATAATTGTCGGTGGCACCCCGTAGTAGCGAAGTAGTTGCCAAATCACCTCTCGATCGACGCTGTCGAAGGCCTTTTCAAAGTCGATGAAGTTGAAATAGAGAGGTGACTGCCATTCCAAACTTTGTTCAATGATGATCCGTAGTGTGGCGATTTGATCAATACATGACTTGTTTCTCCTGAATCCAGCTTGTTCCGGTCGAAGTTTTTCATCCAGGGCTTGTTTGATCCTTTCCAGGATGATGCGGCTTAGTATTTTGCTCGGGATGGACAGGAGCATAATTCCGCGCCAGTTCTTGCATTGACTTAGGTCTCCTTTCTTTGGTAGTTTGAATAAGTATCCTTTCTACCCATCCTCCGGTACCTTGCCTTCTTTCCACACTCTCTCCAGTTGTGGCGTCATCAAGTCCGCTGTTGTCTCTGGGTCAATTTTCAGTGCTTCAGCTGGGATTCCATCTGGTCCTGCTGCTTTTCCAGTTTTCAGCATCTTGATTGCCTTCAGGACTTCTGATTTCGTCAGGGGGTTGGTGTTCACTGGTGGCTCTGTCTCCGTTGTTGGTATTGTTAGGCACGTTGTAGGGGGTAGTCGATTTAGGAGTCTTTTGAAGTGTTCAGCCCAGTGTTTCCTTTGCTCCACTTCTTTGGTGAGTGACTTTCCATTGTCATCCTTCACCGGCTTAATTTGTGTCAAACTTCTACCCGATAGGTACCTAGTTGTTTGGTAGAGTGTTGCGAGATCTCCTTTGCCTGCTGCGTGTTCTGCTTCATTGGCCATGGCTTCATAATACTTTCTTTTGTCTTCTCTGGCACTCTTCTTTACTCCTTTGTTCAGTGTATTGTAGTTTGCATTCAACTCCTGTTTTTGTTGCTCGTCGGTGCACTGGATAATCTTTTGTTTCGCCATCCCTCTCTCTTCTATTAGTCTCCAAGTGTCCGTAGTGAGCCACTGTTTGTCTTGTCTCTTCTTTCTGCCCAGAACTTCCATGTAGGTTTGACTCCGCACTGTCTTCAAGTTGTTCGACGCTGACCTCTTCGCTAATGTTGATTTGTGTCTCGGCTTTGTCTTTTATACTTGCAGTGAAGATATCTTTTGTGTCCTGGTCCTTCAGTTTCTGAGTGTTGAACTTGGCTTGTGGTCTATCCGCAGCTCCTGTTTCTCTGAAAGCTTTTAATTTGAGTTGAATTGTTCCTCGTACGAGATAGTAGTCTGAGCCAACGTCTGCTCCTCTTCTTGCTTTTGTGTCCAGTAGGCTGCGCCGCCACTTCCTCGAGATTGTGATGAAGTCAATTTGGTTTTTGGTTCGCCCATCTGGTGACACCCATGTAGCCTTGTGAATATCCTTGTGTTTGTATACGCTGCCACCAACCACTAGTTCATTGAGTGTGGAGAAGTCGGCGAAGAATTCTCCATTTTCGTTCATCTCTCCAAGAGCTTCCCTCCCCATGATGAGTTCCCTTCCTGTGTTGTCTGGTCCAAGTTTGGCGTTCATGTGTCCCATTAGTATTTTAATGTCACCAGCTGGAGCATTCTCCATTGTTGCCTGTAGTTGTCTGTAGAATTCTTCTTTCTTTTCGAGGTCTGCGTTGTTTGTGGGTGGATAGCACTGTATAATTGACGCTTTTCTTCCTTTGGAGTTGAATCTCGCCGTCATTATTCTGGGTGAGATCGCCTCCCATTCTACTTATTACAGGACGCAAGGAGCGTCATGTAATAAGTAGAATAATATTTAACAGGTAGACTGAGATTCACCGCAGTCTTCTTCTTCATGCACAGGTAACATTTGAATGACCTGAGAGAATTAGGTTAAATAAAATGAAATTATATTTGACCCTTATATTCGTAATAATGGTAAGTGCATTAAAAAGAAGAATATTCTGCACCGAAAATTAATTTTTCTAACGAAGAATTATTAGAAGTTCAAATCGTATTCATTAATTAATATTAGCTAGCACTTCGTTATCAATATTATACTTTCGTTTAATCCAACCACTTTTCAAGGTCATCAGCGATGTCTATTTTGTTGCTTTTTCATATTCTTAATATGTTGGGATTTTGTTCTTCTCTTCTGTTTCGATTTTCAGATTATCGTATATTCTCATTTGTCCGCCTTTTCTTTAAAAGTAAGATCACCACTTTTTGTGTTTGATGAGTCGTTCACTTAATAATTGATGTTAACTCAAGAAAATAATGTTGAGGAAATTAAAGAGGCATCTTGTGGGCAATTTTGGAGTAAACTCTGGGGCTCCAAAGGGGGTAATTTGAGGGCTAATCTGGAGAAATTAGGTGATATTTAGAGGAATTTTGAGATTTTCAGGTGAAATTTTTTTGTTGTTTTGGTAACTTTAGGGGATCTTAGGGGGAAATATTTGGGATTAGTTTGGAGATTTTTAGTTGTTTCGGGGAGAAAGGAGGCATTCAACGAGACTTTCGGCATTCAGCTGCCTTAAATTGCCAAAAATACCACGAAATTACCCTAGGCTTTTTTATTTGAGAAATATCACCCATCAAGCCTGATGATGAAAACATGGCGGATACATGGTAAACACACGCGAAGGTCTAAAAATATCCTTTAGTCATGCAAACCCAGTTGGCTAGATGCCTTGTTAAATCCTCCGGCTAGCATTGATTTTAGGGACACTACAGACACCGGCGTTCCAATATCTAATATCATTTTCACGAGCTAGTATAAACCAATTTGGTTTCTTTGTGTTCGCTCCTTGATTGTGAGGTAAAGGTTCTTGGTCTTTGGTTGACTTCTGCGTAGTTCGTCCCAGCACTCGACTGTCGTAGCTTTGGTTGACTCAGTAGTGTTAAGTAATTCCCAGAATTATTGGCCACAGCATTCATCCCTGAACAGTGGATGCTGACCTTCACTGTTTTATTCGATTTGTTTAGCTGAAGGCTTCCAGTCAAGCATCTACGCCATTTGGCAGGCCACTGTGTTACGCTCGTTCGTTTGTGCACAACCCCTAGCTAGTTAAGCAATCATCTCGCACTTTCATTCGGTCTCGAAATATAATTCATAATTTGGTTTGTCACTTCTGGTGTTTTGCTTTGCTTTTGGTTTACGCGGAACGAATACTATAGAATTTGTGGGTATAAGATCTTGCGTTAGTATACTTCGTACTATCCGTGAACGTCAACACCCCTAGCCTCTAAAACTCCAAAAGTAGTGATCCTGGGATTAATTATATGTTGTTTGTAGTATGTGGTGTGTTAAGACTTTGTTGCTACTGTTAATGGAGTCTATCCTTCCACCAGTTAACCCTCCGGTGTCGTCGTCAGAAGAATTCCAGGCCTAATTATCTAACGTCAAGAGTTTTAGGAGTCCTTTTTCAGGAAACCAGGAGAGCATTGTAGAATAGTAGAGTTACAAAAACGTCCGGCGCACTGCATACACTTTGACAACTTGAGTTTTCGCAGTTCGTCCTGTGTATAATTTAGGTACGCTGATCAAAGAGTGATTTAAATAATCCCTGTATGTTGCGAGCTCGTAAAAATGATATAGTACTTATCATACTTTTTCGGAGATATATGGGTCTAAAGATATTGGACGCTTCATTTATTTGGGAATTTAAATCAGCTATAATCTACTGATTGCTGACGGAACCTCAGCATGGATACAAAAGACTCGTGTGGCACTTTCTGACTTACGTCATCCCTGGCGTAGACGTGATATGCGGCTGTTGATCAAAGAAGGCATGTACTTTGCAGTCATCTGCTTTGTCCTCCTGCATGAATATCAGACATGGCCATTGGAAATGGAAGATAATGAAAAGGCTATCTATCTTTGACCACAGATGTTTGCATTCTACCTCACGCATTTCGGTGTAAAATGTGGGTAATATTGAGGTTAGGCGTAGTGTTAGGCAAAGAATGAAATTCAGTCGACGATGTAGTTATGATCCTGCATATGTTAATAAGTGACTAGAACACGTGTGTAACGTATGCCACGCCCACTCGTCGAGTAATGTTAGTTGACATAAAGTCAGGGTAGGAAAACGTTGGGAGTGTTCAAACCAAAAAATGACATCAATCCCTGAAAATCTGTTTGCCCGTTTGAGCCACATAGGGAAATGTAGACTATCTAGTTGGGATTCCCAGGATGCCAACAACCAGTGACTGGCAAATGGTGGTTTGAAGTCGTTCTCAGTGACGCAGATGCATCCACTCTTTGTAATCTCCCATGTCTAAGAAGTAATCATGTGTTTCAGCGTTGCCATTTTTCTTCTACCGTATATTTCTGCTAATTATAGTTCTTCTGAATTTTTTATCTACACGGAGTGTGGTAACTTAAAGTGCTTCACTTCTGTGTGATGTTCTGTTTTTAAACTCAGTCACATTGCTGTGTAATCTATCTGTAATGATCGGGTGACAACTAAATGCTGCAAAGTTTTCGAGGAGGTGGCACTATAATTATCTCAAAGATTCCAAGTTAAGTTCAATAACACGTGAAACTTAGTACTCAGAGTTTCAGCTGTGTGCAATTCGGCCCCAAAAATCCTGGAGAATTCAAAAAGAAAGGAACTCACATAACTTATAGAGCTAGAAAAAATCATCTGATGTGCAGATGATTTACATCTGCAGTCAGTTCATGAATTAACTGGAAACCAATCAGATCCCTGCAAACCAGGACTTGAAAAGGGAAGAACATTCCTTGTAATCTCTGCTTATTTAAAACACAGATGACCATAATTGTAAAGATGTAGGAAAGAAGGTGATTAATCTGAGAAACAAACCTTACCAAGACCACTTATTAGCTCTTATTCTTCATGTACCGACAGATATGATTGTGGTTTACTACGTAGTTCACAACTCGTGGCATCTAATTGGATATGACTTGAAGCTTATTCGCCAACTACTTTTGAGAAGTCACCCTCTGTTAGTAGTATTCGGCATAAAACAAGTCAAGACTCATGAGGTTTCTCGTGATCAGAATCCGCAAACTATTTAACTGTCTTCACAAGGAGGTCGTGATATCCTTATCACCAGTATCCTTCGAAGAGGTGTATCGATTTTGGTTTATTAATACGAAAGGTTGATACTCCTGCTACACACAGTGACAACATCCATCCTAACTGATCTACTATGTTTCTCTCAAACTCCTTAGGACCAGTAAAATGACTTTGAATTACTTCATATATAAAGCATTTCCTACCACCGCATATGTAAGACCTACGGAACTCTTTGTTTGTTATTTCTAGTGTGTAGAATTTGAATTTATTTTAGCTTTCGTATAATTGATCTCCATTTCAGGACCTCTTTTTATAGCTAAGTGAATAGATACTGCGCCTCTTCTACTGGTTCAATTCTACCAATCCATTCTTAGACTGAAAAAAATCTATCAACAAGGAGTGAACTAAATATGGATCAGATGAACCGGTTAGATGAACTGCCTACTGTTGATGACGTATTGAAGCGCAACTATGAAGAGTACCAAAACTATTCCATTGACTTTTTACAGTACAAAGAGTTCTGTCAGTATGGATTGGCAGAAAGTATAACAAAAGTCTATGATTGGTGTGTCCATCTTCAGTGTTTAAGTCCCTTTGATCCATGTGTTCCACTGAGTGACGTAGAATTTAAAAATAGGTGAGTTTTTATGTTGTACACCGAAGGAGATTTATTATTATTTCTCTATCAGTTAACAATTTCATTTCAAATTATTGTGTATTCTTCTTTATTTTGCAAAAGTGTGTGTTTCGTATTAGCAAGAATATAAATATCACTGAAGACTACCAGTAAATAACAAAAATGGTTAAATTACACATACTTAGTGTTAATAAGCTTAGGTAGGTAGAACATTAGGTAAAGAACCTAACTCGTAGTCTTCTTTTTTTTAGACTGGTCAAAAACTGAGATATTTTAACTAAGCATATGAGAGCCAATTAGTGAATCCTTACTGCAAAATGTATTATGCTTGACAAGTTGAAGTTTTCGCCAACAATCTACGTTATGTAGAGTAAAGTGACAGTGAAAAGTAGTTAACCGTAACTGGATAAAAGTGCAATGCTTCTCCTTCCATCTAGAGCTTCAGTTCTAAAACGTAATATAATTAGGTAGGTAGGTAGGTAGAGGTTGATTTCTGAATCTTTGTTCATTGAATCTACACCTAACACCTACAACAGGAATGACTCAACACCAGTACCAGAGATATGAAAAATATTACTATCAATAAAGTTAAAGGTTTAGATATAGTGGAATTATGTAAACGAAGTTGGAAAGTTATATGATTGTCTTGATATGATTATGAGCAATAAATGGTGCTTGAAAAGTCATCAGTAAATAATACTGCACCATTCAGTGCTTGATTTTATTAAATAAATTAACTCTATGGTGGAATACTTCAGAAAACAGTACCAAAAGATGAAAAAATATTTTTAAAATCTTGGATGGTGTAAGATGCAAATGCAGGATATGCAAACGAATTGGGGGTTAGTAATGCTCTAGAATTCTTGGAGAATTACCTATGTTTCTGAAACTTTCACACTTATAAAAACATATTATATATACGTATTTATATATAAACATCAGTTTGTATGGGCATGGAATTCTTGAAAACAATAAGTTTATGAGAAAGATAAGCAGTGGCATCAATTAGGTGTGGTGAAATTTGATACAGAAGCTAATCTAATCAGAAAATCTGCGGCTATTTTAAAATTCTAGTTGAGATATTTGAAACATTTCTAGCTTGATAGAATAATTAAAAGTCAATCTGAACGAAGAATATTCTTTTCAATAATTTCCCTTCTTCAGGTTCTTACAATTATAAAATATAATATTTGTTGTCGTTACAATAATGCGAGCCAGTTATGCGGTGGATACATTTTTTAACGTAGAATAACAGATTAGTTATGGGGTGTCAAAATAAATAGTCGTATTTGTGTGACTTGTGCTAGGCTGAAATTGATTACAAAATATTGTGAAATGGGAGACAATGGGGGTGAGTAATCATAATAGATTTGTAGAGTGTGGGGTAGGAAAAATTGACAAGTCAGTTAAATGTTCAAGAGTTGATTAGTAAGAATTAGATTTGTCTTTCGAGTTTGACCACAGATTGATATCAGTTAGAGAACCATTGAAAACCAGGGAGTGCTCGACAGGTGTTTCATCCTAGTCTGGGAATGATCGGCAGGATGCACCCACTGGGGTTCAAATACAGAACCTTCCGGTTACAAGTCAAGCTCGTATACCATTCAGCCACTGGGACCCGATTCAATGGCTCATGCATTCTAACTTCTACCAATTCGTGATTTTAGCGCGATCACAAACCAATGTCCTCAGCGGGAAATCCATCTTCACTTCCGACTGGATGTACCTCACTTGTCACGACTTCTCACTAGAACTCCAGGAAACTCCGTCCTGTAGCAAGTCACTAGTGAGCAACAAATTAATTTTCAAGAAATGATTTGTAAGGATTTGATTTGTTTCCCGAGTTTGACCGCGGATTGATATCAGTTAGATGATTCCCAAGCACTAGAATGAAACACCTGTCCAGTACTCCTTGGTTTTCAATGGTTCTCTAACTGATATCAATCTGTGGCCAAACTCGAAAAAGTCAGTTCAGTATTATAAAAAGTGTCGGGTAAGTGGCTAATACAAAGTAGTATGTATTAAAGAGGAGATAGTAAGACTGCAACGTGAGGTTCATCATGAAATAACCAGTGTGGGAAATTAAGCAAGTGGAGGCGTATATTGAGAAAAAAAGATAATCTCGACGTCCATCTGACAAGAAACGCCAACAACTCTCTGAAAAGATCCATATACAAAAAGCCTACATGGAATGGAAAATTCATCAACTTTCAAAGCTTCGTGCCCCTGAGAAGAAAGAGGAACCTTATATACGCTCTTTCCTCGAGGATTCAGAAGATATGCAGCGAGGAAGTAGTTGACGAAGAACTGCGTAATCTGCGAGGAACCCTGATGAAAAACGGTTTTCCGCCCAGGTTCATAGACAAGAATCTCAAATCAAAGAAGACTTCCGAACAAGTCCATTCCGTCCCGAAGAAGATACTTCTGCTTAATCTAGAATTCAAAGGTGACACTGAAGCAGAAATCCTTCGTAAACGCCTCTGCAAATCTCTGAGGAAAACATACTTCGCTGAAAGCCTGTGACTGAGGTTTTCCTGCAAGAAACTGTTCAGGCAGAACGCGAAAGACAAGCTGTCACATTGGGCGACTTCAAAATGCATATACCAGTTTACTTGCTCTTGCGGAACTGAGTACATCGGCTGTACCATGGGCAAACTTGAAAAACGCACTCTTGAACACTATCCAGCCTGGATAGTAAAAGGAGAACGAAAACGTGTATATAGTTCAGTGACACAATATCTGGTCAATTCAGGACATTCAGCGCCATTCGGAAAATCCTACAAAATAATTTACAAGATTCGATCAAACCTATCAAAGGGAATGAAATTGGGACATCTGGGCATAGTGGAGGCACTAGCTACGCAAAAGCTCAAACCCACGCTATGTATCCAAAAGAAATACGTCCAAGTTTTTCTTAATTCCTATTTACACTACCATATTTTCATATCCGGACTTCCTGTCTATTTTGTCATTTTATTATTTCTACATATTTAATCCCTAACTGCATAAACAATTATTCGTCACATTACTTATGATGCCACTAGATTTTTTATCCAAACATCCTGTATATTTTTGTTATTTCTACATTTCTAACTCCTAATTGCACAATATGTCAATCTTCTCAGTAATTATGATGCTACTTTGTTTGAGTTTTATCCATCACTCCCCTTGTTTATTATGGCATTTTAATTCCTAATTGTAATTTTATTAATTTGACACTTGATCGGAAATTATTCTGGAACTTTCCCACCCATTTATCATAAATACACGGATGTACAGCCTAGTTGATGCTACTTCGTCGAAAAGAAAATTTTCATAGCTGCAACCGTCTTTTTAATATTACTAATAATGATTCCGGATTGTATAAATAGAAAATTCGATAGTATTGATAGAATGTTTGAATGAAGGGTGATAATTGTACTTGAAATGTGTCAAAATTTGCTTAAGAGTGAATTCACAAGTTACTGGTAAAAGTCAGTTTTCAAGTATTGATTTTGTAGGGAATTTGTTTGATTGCATGGAGGATTTCATCAAGAGCTGACATCAGTTAGAGAACTACTGGAAAACCTGGGAGTACTAGTTTGGGACTCTTCAGCAGTACCCAGCAGAAACCAGAACGCAACGGCTGTCCAGTACTCTCTGGTTTTCTAAAGGTTCTCTAGCTGATATCAATCCGTGATCAAACTTTAAAAAAAGCATCAAACTCACGATAATAATTGCAATTGTACAGTTAAATGAATGAATTCATCGGAAAGAGACCCTTCGCTGGACTGTTTGTTCCCGATTTCCATATTTGTATGGGCATTTTTCATAAATAAAAAAATACATCATATATATGTGGTGTTGTTTTCTGTTCACTAAGCCGGAGCGTTGCTAACTGAGAAACTTTGGTTATCCTCCTGAACAGCATTTTCAGTGCTAATTTCAGTGTGAAGTCACACTGTAGTTGATTATGTTGGCCAGAAAGACAATGATATCTGACATAAACAAATCCTCTATACTGTTTCTAAATTCTGAATATTTGTTTTGATAATAATAATAATAATTTGCTTTATTCCAAAACAGTACTTGTGATACAGAATGGAATTCTCAGCATTTCACTACAGTATTGCATCCAGTTTGTACATTAACAATGAAAATAAAATTCTACATAGATTATGGGTAGTCTCAGTTAATTTTGACAACAACATATTATCATATCGGTAGCAAAGCCAAAAGTGAACAGAATGTTTGAAGGTGTTAGAAAGGTAGATACTAGCATATTTACTGACGTAAGCGGTAACAAAAAGGTCGAGATATACAGAGTGTGAAAGAACGAAGAAGAATGTTTTAAGTAGAATTTGTAAGGAAGAGAGAAACAAAATAGCATATAACAAAAAAGAGAGAGAGAAAAGGCAAAGAAAGAAAAAAACGTTGTACCTATAAATGATATGAGTTGAAAAGACGAGATCCAGTTGTTCTACTGACTATTTAATGAATCATAGGTGTCACGCTTAATGCTTTCTTTATCGCACAGAACACGAGCTAAGTAGGGTATGGTTGAGTTTTTGTACTTGCTGGTGCGAGCATATAGTTTTCTATATAGGCTTCTGGTCCTCCCTGATGAGATACAAGGGGAGAGTTGTGAATGAAGAGGGTGGTGTGAGTTAGATGGAATGGATTTAGTACATGTTTCACATGAGTCCAATTGCCTGTCGACCAGAATATTAACAAGCTGTTTAAGTGGCACATTGCTTACCCTGCTGACAACCTTTAACACCCTACGTAATAAGATATTGTCCTTCTTCAGTAGCCCTGGAAAAACTAAGGGGGAACAATAGAGAATAATCGGCAGGATGCGAGAGTTAACGAATCGTAAGAGTAAGCGTTGGGTTATACCAGAATGTCTTAACTTCTTGATGTAGAAGGTAAGACGGAATATTTTCTTAGAAATCATCAAGATATGAGACGACCAGGAAAGATAAGCAGATAGAATGACGCCAGGATATTTAATTTCAGTGCCATCTATGTTGCATACCTCGTGAGTGCTAACCAGTTTGTTTAGGTCAGATTTATGCCTAAAGGTGATGTTTATTTAAAAAAGAAGTGTTTATTCATGATTCTTTAAAATATTTTTTTTAAAATACCATTCTACTTCTTAAAAACAGGCAGATTGAACTCGTTCAGGTTGTCCCAACCAGTTACAACAACAACAGCAACAACATCAGCGGCAGCGACAACAACACCAACACTTATAATAATCCTATCAGTTCACTAATAAATGAAAGCATGGTAAACACGTCGTCCCTTTCAACCTATGACTACATGCAACAGATTGCTAATAATATAACTGGCTGTTATGATGATTTCATCTGTGATAAACCATACAACAGTTATCCTAATTATTGTATTCTAGGCGTAGTATGCTTCACACTATGCTTATGCGGAATTATAAGCAATTTAATTCTACTACCAGCGTATAATTTCGGATTGAATCGGTCTGGTGCAACTGTTTATCTAAGTGCAATGGTGCTATTCGATTGTCTGTATATGATATTCACACTGTTAATCTATGTGATTCATTATATGCCATCATCGTTTATTGAACAAATGGAAATGTATGGACAATTTTCGGGATATTTAATACCATGGGGTTTGCCTATCTTACAGATATGTGAATTATTAGTGGTAAGTTTTTAAGTAATTAATATTTTTTGTATTTTGTTTAAATGGATAATAATAATAATAGCTGTGTAACAACAGAAGATAAGGGCCAGGCAACAGAGCGTTTATCTAGGAAATCAACAGATATTTATAGATTCTCATGTACATTACAGTCTTCTGATTGGTGGTTTCTCGCCAAACGTTAATCTGTATCTCTTTGTGGCCGTTTATTGAAGTTCAGATTATCCATCTGCAAATTGTATCCGCCCACGCAAAGTCTGCCGTGATTGGTTGTTGAGTCAGTCTTTGTTCTTATTTTTGTCTCACGACCAATATTGGGGAAGTAAACACAACACCACAACAGTTAGTCTAAGCCACGTAGGAAGATGTAGACTTCCTGGTTGGGGTCCTCGGGACGGTAAAAACCTATGGTTGGAAACAATTGGTGACATGGCTCAAAATCGTTCTCAATGGTTGGCGCAGATGCATCCACCCCTTGTGACTTATGATTTCCAAATAAACTGTTTTGTTCTCCGTTATTACTATTCCTTTGCCTCACACCTCTGTTTACTGTGTCTAATATGCATTTCTTCTACTTTCTTCTCTTCCTTTGTGTGCTACATGGAGGGAGTGTGGCGACTTGAACTGCCGCACATCTGTGCAAAGTTCTATGTCGAAAACCGACCGACCGACCGGGGAAGTAAACATTAACGTAAATTACTATCTACCAATTTGGCTAGCAGCCAGCTCTCACGACAGCTGTATTCTGAAAAATGCGTTTATAAACAGTTAATTCACAGCAAGTTTCACTGTTAGGTGTATACTCCTTGTGCAGAATCTTCAAATAATGTAATAATCAATAATATATCATCTAAAGCAATATTGTTGCATCTGAGGCTTGCTCCAGTACTACTCCACAATGTTTGTTCTTCATTTATTTTGAAAAATTCATAGTGGCAGGTAAAAACTTATTTGGAAATTGTTAGCGAGTATAGACTGCAACTCTTCAGGGTAATTAGATCATTAAGACAATATGAAACGGGGTAAGCATAATGCATTGGGATGGATGGAAAATTTAGGTAGCCCAGTGATTCAAGCAGGCCGCCCTTTTTTTAAAATTTAAACAAAAGGTGCCTTAGACGGGGAATTAATCGAAAATCTTAAATGATAAATCAACTACATTTCGATGTATTAGTCATCTTATAGGTGCGTCGGCGGCACAGTGGTAGAATGCCTGCTGACCACGCCTCATGTGGTCCGGGGTTCGATCCCCAGCCGGCGCACTCATTTACCTCCCTAAACCAGTAATAAGACTGGTAAAGAGGGAAGGTTCGGCATGAGGCTAGCAACCCCATCCTGTAAAAGTAATCACCATTGCTTTAGAAACTTCAAGTTTCTAGCTTGAAGCCCTATGTTCCATTGGGAACGTACAGGAATAAAAAAGAAAAATATATTCCCCATCGACAAAGGAGTTGACTCGTTATTGCCTCAGTTGATGACAGTTCATAGCTTCATTAATTTAATCGGTTTCCTAGACAAGTACTGAGTCGAATCTTAACATTACTTACTTTGGGCTTTTTTTCGCAATAGCAGTAGGACGAAGGTACTTGTGATCGAAATCCTGTAACTTCTTGATGACTTCTGTCTCCAGCGCATATGTTTATACCAGGACTAGGCAGATTGCTACAATTTCACAGATAGCCGGCTATCGCTAGGGTAACAGAGATGATGCCTTCTTACTCATTTCGAACATTTTATCAGCAACTCTAACCAAAGAATTCTTGATATTATTTTTAGAATCAATTAAAACTTCCAAATATTATTATTCCCTTGGGTTCTGAGTGGAACATAGGGGCTTCAACACTATACCTCTGTTTTGTCCTGTTCTCTGAAGTCCTCTTTAGCTCGCCACACCATTGCCCGTAAGCTCTCATCTCCACTGCGTCAGCCTTGAACCCACATACCCAACTAACCTTTCCACATTAAGCTTTCACTCAATGGCCTGTCGTGTAATGTCACTCATCAGTAGCCTCAATGCATAACTGACGCATTTCCATTTTCCTTCGGCATATTTGTTGAACAGTAAGTTCTCGATTGGTTCTACTCCTGGCAGTCTTTCTTGTTGCCTGTTATTTCTGGCTAGCCATCTGATCTTCAGTATGGAGGTAACCCACTGAAGAAATAAATAAAATGAATCGAGGGCGGCTCTGTTTCGCAAATAGAAACCACTCTTTTGTTATAATAAATGTAAAGTAAGCCAGAAGTGAGTGATAATCACCAGTGTGTTCTAATTACAGACAGTTTTTTGAAGGCAAGATAAGCTGTTTCCGTCTAAGATGTTGTGCACACCTTTTAAATGAATGCGTGTAGTGAAATAATTTTTGATATGTCTATCTATTTGGAAATAAATAGAATCAGTTGTGTAGAACATATTCACGCATCTCTGAATTATTGTGTCTCTTGTTATTTTTTTAAGAATCAAATTACACTTTGTTGGTAACTTTCATTTTCAAACAGGTCTTGTAATTTTATTGATTTCCGATAGGAATTAATTTAGTGCTCAAATTTGCAATTCGTAAATTAATTTGCAATTGTCCCAGTTATAGGAGGTGAAATTTCACCACAGTTTCCTATGGAAACCAAAATCGTTCATACTATAGTATGCCGTTTGCTTGATACCATGAATGGTAATCAAGAAGACTAAGAATAACTGCCAGTGTCCGTCTGGCGGGAGGACAAATACTCACCGAAGACATTGGCTAGTGGTCGTGGCGCTATGTCGTGAATTGGCAGAAGTTAGAATTCATGGGCCATTAAATCGAGTCCCAGTGGCCCTGATAGTCTACGAGCTCGCCTTGTAACCAGAGAGTCCCGGGTTCGAACCTTGGCGGTGGGTGCGTATTGATGATGAGTCACAAACTAGTGCGAAGAAACAGCTGGCTGTTCAGTACTCCCAGTTGGTTTTCCATTGGTTCTCTAACTGTTATCAGCTCATGATGAAATCCTGTAACCAGACATGTGAAGATTTCCACACTTCAGATGGGCCTCAACAACAAATCATCATTAGTTTGTTTAAATAAGACATTAAGAAGACAAATATTGTGGGGTGACATCATTTCTTAGTTTCTTAACAATCGCTTTGCAACTAGCATGGTGGGGCGATGATTTGGTATATACCTCCAGTTTAAATTGGTGCCACTTGGGTAACATTAAAAAGCAAGAATTCCTGGTGCAACAGGCTGCATATAGCAGCATAAAATCATAAAAATGCAATTTTATGTGTTTCATATTGAAGCTTGAAGCCTAGATATTTATAACTATGAAGTGAAATTTACTATCAAAGAATAGCAAGAACTCTGAAGCCGTCCATATAAATACCTCATAGAAAATTTACTAATTCATAATTTAATGTTAGATATCTATAGCATATTACTTATGTCATTACGCTGTGCGTCAGCAGTTCAGAGGTAGAATGCCCGCCAGCTACTCCTCACGTGGTCCAGAGTTCGATCCCCGTATACTAATCTAGCTGGTAATAAGCCCTCCAAATGAGCAAAGGTTGGGCGTGAGGTTAGCAGCCCCATCCTTCAAAGCTTGAAGTCGTATGTTCTACTAATAAACCCAAAGGAATACAATAATAAATATGTCATTGCTTGAACATAGAAACGCTACAATAAGCGTCGTTGTTAGCATTTTGGCTGATTTCTTTCTAAGTAAACTAGAAAATGGACCTTCGAACAACCTTATCAGAAAGTTCTCATTTTATTGCCGGTATATGGATGATACCTTCATTCTTTGTGATAATGATTCGGATAGGAGTACAATAATAACTGATTCCAATGAAGTACATTGTGCTATGAAATTCACGTGTGAAGAAGAATCCCAAAACAAAATTGCCTTCCTGGATGTCTTTCTTACAATAAAACCAGATGGTAGCATAAAAACATTTCCATAGAAAAAGTACATAGACAGGACAATATACACATTTTCACAGCTTCGTTCCTCTCAAGTACAAAAAAATTTAGTAAAGCCCTCACCACAGAGTTAGAGCTATATGCTCAGAAGAAGTAATTAAAGAGGAATTAAGCATTGTATATGATACTTTGATTGATAATGGCTATCCCGACAAATTTATCAAGAAACACATGACAAAGAAAGCGGAGAAGCACTACTCACTATCTGTAAACAAGAAGCCTCTTTATATACGACTGCAATTCAAGGGCGATATACCAAGCGAAATAATTACGAAGAAATTAAGAAAATCAGTTCAAAGAACTTTAAATGCTGGCGAACTACACGTGTTATTCTCTACACGACCGATGGTGATTCCTCGACTGAAAGATGAAGTACCTAGACTAGCCACTTCAAATTGTATCTACCAATTCAACTGCTCTTGTGGTGGAGCGAGTTATATCGGCCGTTGCTCTAGGAACTTGATTTTTCGTGCTCACTCGAGAACATCTCCCAGTATGGCTAAGTAAAGGTGTAGTGAAAACCATCAACAGTTCGATATTAGACCATCTGGTCCGAACCGGTCACAAAGTCAGCATTGAAGAATCCTTCTCTATCATCATCATCCAGGTACAGCATGCTCCAAACAGCAGAGGCTATCGCAATTTGCGTGAAACAACCAGTGCTTTGTGTGCGAAAGAAGCAAGTGCAGCCAGCCACTACTACTGCCCCGGACGGACTTCAGTGGAGACTATAAATTCATTTATTGTTATGTTTATGCTATCGAACTATAATCCACTGATATTATTATTGATTCGATGTTATTTAAACAACATTAATGTTGTTCATAACACTAATTCATTCATTCACTATAATGTATAACTAACTGTAGAGCCTGATGAAGAGCAGGTTATCGAAAAGAGTATTCTTTGTTCTGTATCCATTCTTTTGAAAATTTTAATGGGCATTTTTAATCAGTTGTTAGGATAGTTTATTAACTTACTCCCATGGTTCACAATAATAAAAATAAAAGGTTTAACGATTAATCACTTATATATAAAATAAAAGTG